TCCTTTTTTGGTTTATGTTGTTGCAGTTTTTTTTCCATCTAAAATCTGCAAATAATAATGATGTCGTCTTTAATATAATCTGTGTGAAAATCCTTCAAATCGGGCTGTTTCCTTTTCTTTTTCATAAGGTGTTAAACCAGTCTTTTCACTATCAAACTCAACGTGTAAATCCATGCAAACTATTCTAAAGTGAGGGCACCGTTTTCAAATCCTTTCACACATATTAAACCTCAATTTCTCTTCTGACCATATGACCGTGGAGGGGCTCCATATTTCACAATAAATCAAGAGTGACAAAATGAACGTTGCCAGGGAGGTGTGTAATACCTGGATGATGGAAATGTATATTACATACTGCCTCTCCTCAGAGAGAACAGGCTTCTTTATTAAACCTTCAAATGATGCTGTTCTAACATGGAGGCCCAATCATGTTGGTCATGGTTGAATAATGAAGCATGTTATATGATACAAGTTTAATCAGAGGTTAAATGACTCTCAGCTATTTGTCTTAAATGATGTTGGGCCTAATAATGGACACTAGAATGCTAAAGGAAATGGATCCTGTATCATTTTGTTATTATTTTGTTATATTTTATTACCCAGTAATGATCTGATATAGATTCATGTGCAAAAGCAACTATGACATATGTCAGGTTATGGTTACAATAAGTTAAGGTCACACAGAGTTCAGGGGTCATACAGGGGAAATGCAGAGGTAGAGGCATCCTGACCTATCAGACAGTATGCCTTTTTTATTCCAAGGATAGAAGCCAAATATCCATCTAATTGTGAAGATAGACCATCTTCTATCATGGAAAGACCACATTGAATTTAGCTGTAACATGTATTTTCTTAGATAGGGGCAACACATTCTTCTCCTGTAATCAATAATGTTCTTTAAAGTCAAAACTGCTCCACAAATTACAAATAATGTCAAAGAGTGTAGTTTACCTTTTCAGAAACTGTTTAAATCTTTAAACTAATCTTTTATAACCTCGTCTCTAACCTTGCACCATCAAATCTGAGAGTCCCCCGATTCAATCAAACTACACTGCACTCTGCTGTCAATCCTGAAACTAATACAGAGTTAACTCCCAGGTCAAATGTACGTCACAGGGTCTTGAACATATCATCTGCAGTGATTGTGATGTTACATTAAGTGTCTGTCTCCTTCTATCCTGTCTGAATATCTGTCTTTGGTGATGTTGTGCAAATGGAGCTACTGTGGCTGTGAAGCAGTAAAAATGTCAGACTTGTTCTGAAAATAAAGTATCATTACATATTGCATTGAGTCGTATGCAGCTACATCGCAGTGTTTGTGTTTCCGTATTACCAGGTACAAAAAATAGTGAAGGAGGTATAAAAGTAGTATAACAGATTGTAGTAGAATATTACACATGTTAGTAATGAAATGCAGATTTGAGGTTATATTGCATTGTATCAGTGTGTGTGTGTGTGTGTGTGTGTGTGTGTGTGTGTGTGTGTGTGTGTGTGTGTGTGTGTGTGTGTGTGTGTGTGTTGAATATCATCAGTAAGTGTGTTTTGCTGATTAATTTCAAGCCGATTTTTTGATATTATATATTTCTTGCAAGTCTGAGAATGTACGTGAATGTTTGGACAGGCGCATGTTTAGACCTAGCCGACAGCATGGACTTCATTGAATTGATGTGCATGTGTTTCTGTATTTTCAGATGTAAGCACTGAAACCGATGTATGTTGTACGTGTTAGTGTTGAAACTAGCAGTAGTCCAGATATGAGAATTATTTCACATTTTTAACAGTTAAAGGACGAGTGTGTTGTGTGAAACATTGAGTCACCTGATAGCTAATATGGACTAATACCAGGAGTGTTACCACCTGTAGCTAATTAACAATATGTGTATGTGAGCTGAATATCATCTGTCACTGTGATTTTCTGGTTAATTGCAAGCAGACATTTTGATATTTAATGTTTCAGGCAAAGAATGTACATGAAGGTTTGGGCAGATGCATCACTCATTAGACCGAGCCGACAGTGTGTGGCTGCATTGCAGTGATGTGTTAGTGTTATTGTATTTTTTAGTGGTGACATATGTATGTAATGAACATGTAAGTGTAAAAAACTTAAAATTGTTGAAATTGTTTTTCTTCTTAAATGCAAGTTTAAGACAAATGAGGCATCATTCATTCGACCTAGCCGACAGCACAGAGCTACAGCTACTACTGCTTGTATACTCAGAACATAACAAAGTAAAAGGGATTTATTTGAAATGTATGTATGCCTAGAAGTCTTTTGTGTGTAAGTATGCAACACATTTCACCTCAGTGTGTGTCTATAACCCATGCCGCCTTAACCGGACTAAAAGAATATAAAACCTGCATCATATCAGCGGTGTTAGTTGTGACATGTTTATGTCCATTCCATTTGAGTTTTTAGTGGAGAAACGTTAAATCACCTCCAACTCTGCCAACACAAATTTCAGAATGTTTTTTAAAACACAGTATTAATGCCTTTACGTCATTTTGGTACAGGCGTATTATTGTTTTCTCTCAAATATCGTTTTGGAGCCTAGCGAGGTTTATGCCTGTTTACAATGGCTCTCATGAGCTCTGATGTAATTGGACTCTAAAAAGCAGCTCCAGCAACACGTCGTTACTCGCTGAGCCGACCCTCGTGTTGCCTTTGCCCCCGCAGCCCCTCCAGGTGCCCATTGGTGACGCAAACAGGACCCACTTTTTTCAGAGCCACCCCCCACCCCCACACACACACAATGT